TACCAGAATGAGGTTGCTTATTCACGAGAAATTATTGATTTGTAAAAAGGGCAAGTAAGGTCGTCTCCTCAGGGATTGGGGATATTTGTCTCTTTTGAAATCCAACGTAACACGAGGGATGTTTTTGTATAAAAGATGACAATTAAAGCAGTTCAACTAAAAATAAATAGCTAATTAAAAATTAAATGACAATTTACTAAAACCAGAGTAATAATAACTAAAGGTATAGTCAAGAAATAACTTCAGCAATGGTTCACCTAATTGATCATCGATGCAAAAGTAATTCTAATTATTTACTAATAAATAGGTTATAACTGCCAAACAAGTGATGACAGTCAACCCCTCCTTACTGTGTCGTTAATTAAGTTACGCATGTTAACCACTGCTCTAATTAAAAAATAATCCTAGGTATGTCCGTAAGATTTAATTCCCCAATTACTTTATGTATTAGAGGAGCTCTATTCTAACCAAATAACACACTACCAGGGTTATTTTAGATTAGCCTGCGTATTTTCCTGACACAAACCTAATCATGCTAGTTGTCACTATTTTAGAACAATTAAACAATTACGGATTTAATGCTCTAATTGACATCAGGTTGCTAAATTAATTCAACGTCCGGGCCCAGGATATTTAATTAACAAAGCAACCATAAACATTACAAACAGAGAATATGCAAATATCAGTAAATAAGAGGAATAAATAAAATTAATTCGATCTCACAATTTTTAGATGCACCAAAGCCTTCGTTGTTTTTTGACTAGAAAAAGGGGATTTAGTTCATCCCTGATGAGTAACACCCACACAAAGTTGATGAAATAGCAATCGCAAACATTGTCTCTGATTTCGATGATTCAATTCGTTCGAATTGGGAAAGAAGAGGCAAGACTACAAAGTATGACCAATTGTTTTCCTTGGTCTTGACATCCGCAGGAAGAAAACCACAAGAAGATGAAAAAGGAAAAGTCGAAGGCTAAAACAAGAAAGTGTCCCCATTGTCTGCTATCTCTACTTCCTATCTACTTTCTGCCTTTTTCTTTGTGGCTGCTCCAGAGGAAGAAAAGGGAGACTCCAGCCTTGTTCCGTCTCTTCTCTCTTCGACAATTACCAAAAGAAGAAAAGTTCCTCTTTTCCAAAAGTGCCCCTAGATTAAGGGAGCAGATTTGACTGCTACTTGAACACCTTTTCTGATAACCGTCAAATTGGCACTTGTTATGGTATTATTGTTCTACTCCCTGTGATAAATGTAAATTTCCAAAAGTGAGTAGAATCTGACAATTAATCCACATTTTGTAAGGTAACCGAGGAAATTAATTATAGAATAAATGATAAATTTGCACCCTATCAATTCCCCCCACACCTAAACCATGCTTGTCCTCGAGCATGAGAGCAGCAGACAAGCACCAATATTTGACAACGGCCATTGCTCCATCTACCTTATTGCCAAAATACCAAGAAAAACATATATCAAGCATCAGTGATCAAGATCCAAGAAACATCACCCCGATTAGCTTCTAAACCACAAACTCCTCCAGTTTCACGTTAACTAATCTAGAAAAAAGGAATTGTCGCTCAACATTTATCAGTAAATAGTCCAACTATTAACCAAAATCTCAACATTAAATCCACACATCGGCTAGCTGACTTTAATCACATATTGACACCACCTTCACACCTTTTTATTACGTTTTTCTATTTCCTCTTCTTTTTTTTCATTTTTTTTATTCTTTTCTTTTTCAATAGTAACAAAAGACTTAGTCTCTAGCCATTGAGCCTTTTGACTCGAACTCCAATATTTGCCAGATGGAAGAGCCCGGTTACTCAGCTCCTATCGCTATGAGACCACGTACTCATAGCAATTACTACTTTTGACGCGAGAATCCACACTTTTGGTGAAGATCCCCAGTTACTCAGTAGTAATAACTAGCGGAGTACAGTCAACTTCTGTTCACAGCCAGGCAACAAAGTAACTCAAAATCTCACATAAAATAGCAATAGCTAGTCTTATTTCCTCAAACATGGAGAACTAAAGTTAATAATTGGACCAATTCACATGAAAATGCCAAACAGTTATACCCTTTGCCTAGAAAAGGTAACCAAAAATTATAAGTCATAAGATCATTGATATTCACCAAAGAGATATTTTTGGACTCAATCAAATTAACTTGATACACTTTTATTACTAGAACTTGACAATAGTAGAATTAGAGTCAACGACCATCATCAAACCTTGGTAGTCATAGAAGAGCTGATCACTAATAAATGAAAAGAAAAGAAAAGAAATGAAAAATAGAACAAATAACAAAAGAATAAAGGAAAAACATCTAAAAACTAAAAACTAGAAACTATAAATACTAGCTGTATCACAGTTTTTCCCTCCCACACCTAAATCCGACATTGGCCTCAATGGAGGTAATAGAGCAAATCAAGCAGAGAAGACACTGAAACTTCCCTCGGGGGCGGCTATAGGATAGGCGGGAATGGCGGAGTGAAGCTGATATGGTGGGAGTACGCGGCTAGGTTCGGAGACATTTGAGCCACCTGATTGGTGACATTCGTCACCCGCTCATCTACGTTGTGAACCTGTGCTCGTAAGTGGCGCCACTCACCATTTTCGCCAATTATCACCCCAAGCGACAAAAGACAGAATATCCAACAAAGATAGGAACCAGTAAATGCAAATCAATAGCCATTGGTGTTCCCCAACTCAATAGTCAAATGCAAAAGTTGTCCACCCAAATACTCAATACATGTCCCCAATGATACAGTTAACTGCACAATTCAACCAATCAAAATCGTAGCAAATGCCTCAAGAATTCAACAATTCCAGCAGTAGCAGTTCAGAGATTTGATAATAACAACTCAGTCACAAGTTCTTAGCTGTCAATCAGACAACCAATCAGATAGAATTACCAAATCTAGTCAAAATACTCCAACTAGTACCACTGGTTCCAGTATCAAAAATTCACAGCAAAATAGGAACGAATCTTCAATCATCCAAATTCAATCAAATGCAATCAATCTAAAATCGATCAATCAAAATCAGATACCGGCAGTCAAACACATGCAATCACACATAGTCAATCGATAAATGCCAAATAGCAAAGTTACTGTGTATGAATCACAAAATTAAGAAAGGGCTCGACTGGGGCACAGTTACGCGAGAAACCTGACACCAGGGTTGGAGTAGTGCTGATGCCGGCAGTTGCGCGACGGTAAGGCTCCTGTCTCACGCAAGAGTGTAGTGAAGGAGGTGTTAGGATCGGAAACAACCAAGTGAAAGAGATAAACAATGCAAAGATCATAAATGTAACAATAAGTAAAAGGAAAGAATTACAAACCAATTAACTACCCAGCTCCTCTTGAGCTTCAAACAAGCTACTTCAAATTGATGAATTACAATCACTCTTGTGTACAAAGGAAGGTTCACCTCCTCCTTGCCCCGAACTCCCTCGGTCAAGCCAGGACGTTTTACTATCCCTCAGGACAACCCTCACAGAGCTACACTCATGAAGTATTCACTCACAAATGAAAAGTTTACAATGAACCTCACACCACTAAGACTACAAATCTTCTTTGAAGAGTATTTTCTCACTAAAATCTCTTTAGATCTTTTGTATCTTCAGTGTGCCAAAGTTATTTTTAGTATCTGACCAACCACTATTTATATAGGACCAAGAAAGTGCCTCATTAATGCTTCCAACGGATAGAAAGTAGCTGAACAGTCAACTATCCATTGGCAGTGTCGGACGTCCGATAGCCCTGTTTTATGCGTCCGACAGCAAGCAGAGAGTTTAAGACTTTTTCTTCAATTCTTTCGGACGTCCGATAGGCTGGTTTTCTGCGTCCGAAGATACTCAATGGTTGTCGGACGTCCGATGCAGTTTTTTTGAGCGTCCGACAGCTTCAGCATACTTTGTCTTCTTTCAATTGCACTTGTTCATGGAATCAAATAACTTCATAACTGAAAATATATCTTGAAGAAATATTAGTATCATCCATTTGTTTTGTAAACATCAAGATCAACAGGAGGCGACGCTGAGGGGGGAAGTGCGCGATAGGCAGCGGCAGCGCGCGTTGAGGAGCGCGTGATGGAGAGCAGCAGGAGAGAGATGAGGCGAGGCGACGCGGTTGCGTCGCAGGTCATGGGTGGCAGCGGCAGCGGTGTGGTGCAGCGGTCGCTGCGAGGAGAGAGAGAGTGTGTGGGGTTGCGCGAGGATGGCGGCGTGCGTTTGACTCGAAGAGCAAGAGAGAGAGAGAGTCACGCGGCAAGAGAAGGGCGAGACCTTGGGTGGAGGTTGGCGATGGCGATGGCGGCGTGCGGCGAAGCAGGGAGAAGGCGGTGGCAGCGGTCGAGTTTTGGCCAAGAGGGGAAAGGAGAAACATGGGAAAGCGGGGGAAGAATGGAAGAAAAGGGAAAGAAAGAAAGGAAGAAAAAAGAAAGAAAAAGAAGAGAAAAAAAAGAAAGAAAGAAAAAGAAATAGTTTTTTGGTGTTTTCTCCCTTTTTTTGTATTTGGAATTTAAATTTTAAAATTTGAATTTTGAAAATCAAAATTGAAGGTTAAAACAGAAAATATTTTTATTTTTAATTTTTTTTGGTTGTCAAACACGGCATGGGCACGCTAAGATTGGAAGAAATATTCTGACCTTGGGAGTCACCTTTCGCAATTTAACGCGTGCCCTCCTTGCGTGGGCATGCCATGATTCCTTGGCCTGCTTGCGTTTCGAACAGTGGAGGTTTTACCAACATGGCGTGGGCACGCGAAGATTGGTAAAAGTATACTGACCATGAGGTTGGGACTTATAACATTAATGCGTGCCCTCCTCGCGCGGGCATGCCAAGTTTCCCTGCCCTGGCCACAGTTGAGGAAAACATCAAAAGCAATCAGTACCCAAGTGAGAAACGACAAATTGAAAGAATTGAACAATAAAAAACTACAAAACCAATATTTGGGTTGCCTTCCAAAAAGTGCATTTCTTTAACGTCTTTGGTTAGACGTTAAACACCACTCTTCAAATCTGGATGTAATTCAAATTTTCTTGTAATCGGTGGCCCTCCTCCGGGATCCAAATAGCCATTGAGTGCAGCCTTCTTTCTTAATTTTCTATTCATTTTCACTTCATAAACTGCTTTCATTCCCTGATAGTTGTTCGCAGCAACTTTGAATTTATCCCTACAAGCAAACTCAGAAAATTCTTGTACAGAAGGATTAATAACATGAATAGCAAACACAGAGTAAGAGTTAACAGGATGTTTCATTGTATCAAAAATATTAAAGTGGACTATTTCTTCATCAAATTCCATTGTGAGAGTACCCTTACTAACATCAATCTTAGTTTGGGCAGTACTCAAGAATGACCTTTCTAATATAATGGGTGATGGATTTGGGGCACTTCCATCATCCATGTAAAGCACATAAAAATCAGTAGGAAAAAATAATCCATCTACTTGCACTAAAACATCCTCAACTACCCCATTCAGATAAGTAAATGTACAATCAGCCAATTGAATTATTATCCCTGTTTCATTTAAAGGTCCTAAATTTAGGGAATCATAGATTAATTTATGCATCACATTAATTGAAGTTCCTAAATCTAGCATGGCATTTTTAATCTTAGAAAGTCCAATCTGAGAGGGGATAATAAACATACATGGTTCTCTGCATTTAGGTGGTAGTTTCCTTTGTAAAATCGCTGAAACGTTCACACCTACCACAATGTGCTCATCCCCCCTAACTTCTTCTTGATGACGCACAAGTTTTTCAAGAATTTAGCGTATCTTGGCACTTGCTTGATTGCGTCTAACAAAGGGATATTGATTGCCACCTTTCGAAACATCTCTAAAATCTTCTTTTCTTTATCTTGCTTCTTTGGTTTCTCTAACCTACTTGAAAAAGGCGGTGAGTTAGTTCCAACTTTAATTATAGAATCAGGAATTACCTTTGGATTTGCATTTCTCATTCCTTCCTCCTCAAGCTCTTTTTCAATTTGATCTTCATTTTTATCCTTCGGGATCACGAGTTCGAGTCCCTGAATTTCCTTCCCGCTCCTTAAGGTCATTACACTTACATTCTTCAGGTGTAGTTCAAGTTGAGACGGCAATTTTTCATAAACTTGGGATTCCAGGAGGTTGATTGCTATTGCCATCTGACTCTGCATTGCTTGCACCTGTCCCAGTTGATTTCTCATACGTTGTACGTCAGAATCCGTCTTTTGTTGATTAGCAATTAATTGCTTCATCATCTCTTCCATAGACGGACTTGAATTTGAAGGGGGTGGTGGCGGGCGAGATTGATACTGTTGTTGATACCCTTGCTGTCTATTTGGTGCAAAATTTGACTACCTATTTCCTCCATAACTGAAGTTAGGGTGATCTCTTCAATCCGGATTGTACATATTTGAGTACGGGTCATATGGCTTTCTTGGCGCGGGCACGTGACCAGCCATGTTCACTTGCTCCGCACTTTCTTGTTGAATCAGCGGACATATCTCTGTAGAATGACCCATAGCAGTGCAAATCCTATACACCTTGGCTTGTGATGCATTTCCTATAGCCAATTGCCTAACAAATGATATTAATTCAATCAACTGCTGTTGAATAGAAGATGTCTCTACCTCACTCATTCTGCGTGTCGGGACATCCTCCCTCGCACCAAACTGTTGCGAATTTTCAGCCATTCCTTCAATTAATTCCCACGCTTCTCAAGGAGTTTTATTCACCAATGCCCCTTCACTTGCAGCATCAATTATACTCCTATCTCTGAAAAGGAGCCCCTCGTAAAAATATTGGATGAGCAATTATTCACTTATTTGGTGTTGAGGGCACTTGTTGCATAACTTCTTGAACCGCTCCCAATAATGATCGGTTTGACTCTCCTGGATGCTGCTTGATACCGCATATCTTTTTCCTTAGACTTGCAGCTCAAGACGCCGGAAAGTATTTGTCTAAGAATTTTTTCTTCAGCTGGTCCCACGTGGTGATACTACCTGGTGGTAGGTAGTACAGCTAATCTTTCGCGGAATCCTTCAAAGAGAAGGATAATGCCCTCATTTTTATTTGCTCTTCTGTAATTCCTGGGGGTTTCATGCTATTGCAAACGACATCAAACTCTTGCAAGTGCTTGTAAGGCTCCTCACCTCACCTGGTAAACCATAGAAAGATGGCAAGAGATGAATTAGACCAGATTTTAACTCAAATGGTGTGTTATCATTCAAACTTGAGAAAGTGATGCATAATGGCTGCTGATTTAAATCTGGGGCAGCCAACTCCCTTAGTGTTTGTACATTAGCCATAGTGACTTTTTCTTGATCCGAGTCACTCGAAGTATCACCAAACGAATTTGCTGGTTCAACTTCTGGCTCAAGTCTCTGAGATACAGCACTAGAGTGCTCTTCTCTGAGCTGTCTGGTCTCTTTCCTTGTTCTACGCACAGTCTTCTCTACCTTGGGATCGAAAATTAATTCACCTGTACGAGAAGAACGGGGCATATACTCGAAAAGTACCAGCAATGGTAACCAGAGTAATAATAACTAAAGGTCTAGCTAAGAAATAACTTCAGCAATGGTTCACCTAATTGATCATCGATGCAAAGGTAACTCCAATTATTTACTAATAAATAGGTTATAATTGCCAAACAAGTGATGACAGTTAACCCCTCCTTACTGTGTCAGTGATTAAGGTACGCCCGTTAACCACTGCTCTAATTGAGAAATAATTCTAAGTACGCCCGTAAGATTTAATTCTCCAATTGCCTTACGTATTAGAGGAGCCCTATTCTAACCAAATAACACACTACCAGGGTTATTTTAGATTTGCCTGCGTATTTTCCTGACACAAACCTAATCATACCAGTTGTCACTATTTTAGAGCAATTAAACAATTACAGATTCAATACTCTAATTGACATCAGGTTGCTAAATTAATTCAACGTCCGGGCCCAGGATATTTAATTAACAAAGCAACCATAAACATTACAAACAGAGAATATGCAAATATCAGTAAATAAGAGGAATAAATAAAATTAATTTGATCTCACATTTTTTAAATGAATCAAATCCTCCGTTGTTTCTGGACTAGAAAAAAGGGATTTAGTTCATCCCTGATGAGTAACACCCACACAAAGTTGATGAAACAGCAATCGCAGACATTGTCTTTGATTTCGATGATTCAATTCGTTCGAATTGGGAAAGAAGAGCCAAGACTACAAAGTATGACCAATTGTTTTCCTTGGTCTTGACATCCGGAGGAAGAAAACCACAAGAAGATGAAAAAGGAAAAGTCAAAAGCTAAAACTAAAAAGTGTCCCCATTGTCTGCTATCTCTACTTCCTATCTACTTTCTGCCTTTTTCTTTGCAGCTGCTTCAGAGGAAGAAAAGGGAGACTCTAGCCTTGTTCCGTCTCTTCTCTCTTGGGCAATTACCAAAAGGGGAAAAGTTCCCCTTTTCCAAAAGTGCCCCTGGATTAAGGGAGCAGATTTGACTACTACTTGAACTCCTTTTCTGATAACCGTCAAATTGGCACTTGTTATGGTATTTTTGTTCTACTCCGTGTAATAAATGTAAATTTTTAAAAGTGAGTAGAATCTGACAATTAATCCACATTTTGTAAGGTAACAAAGGAAATTAATTATAGATTAAATGATAAATTTGCACCCTATCAGGAAATTAAAGGAGATTCTTTAATTGATATTTAAAAGCGAAATTGACGAACATATTGGGAAAGGAGCATAGTGATAAAATTCGCTTTAAAAAATTAATACTCCATATATAGATTTTAGAGAATTTTAGTGGCCTATTTAGATTTTACAAAATTTTGACCCAGGGAAGCGTGGAGCTACCCCTACCCGTTCTCCCCCTCCCTTTTAATCTCTCTCTACCTTAATGTGTATTACTCTCCCTATATATAATGTGCTTGTCACAAGTAGCAATACTCAAAGAAGCAAAGAATTACAAAATTTTCTCTTACACTGCAGAAAAAATGGAAAACAGTCAAAACTCCAGTCGAAGTTGCAAATCTAGAGGCAGTAGAGGATCAAATTCCGGTAATGAGATAACTTACATTTCTTCTCACCAAAAAACTATTCCCTTCTTCTTTTATGCTTGTTTAGAGCTACGTGATGTTTGCATGTTGTTGTTTACATGCGAAATTTATTCTTAGTTAGATATCATTAATTCTTATGCCAATTAATTCTTGTAAATCTCCTAGATTTTGTTGTTATCTACATCTCAAATTTTTTTTCTCTTAAGTTGATAGCCACTCCTTTTATGTGCTTATATGGTGATATATCCATTTAAAACTAATATGTTTTTCTTTTATTTGCTACATTTAAGATGTTCAATTTTATAGGGATGAATTTTTGGAAATGACATTGGTCAAAATTGAATGAGAGGATTTATTTCTCCATATCTTATCTATTTAGTTAAGTTATACCTATATATAAATGTAATTAGCCTAGTTATTTTACTCTAATTTGCTATAATCATTACCTTTTCAATCATTTTTCATGTTGGTTTTTCTAATGCATTTTGCTTTAGGGAAATTTTTTTCTACTTTATACTCTTTAGATCGAGATAGGTTGGAGATTGGAAGTTTGAAACTTTTTTCAAATAAATTTTCAATCTTATACACACACACACATATATTTAAGTAACTAATATTCTTTATAAAACTTCTAATTCATGTAAGAAAAAGTTTAAAAAAAACCAATTCTTTATGCATTTAAAAGAAAGCCTCTTTTTAGTCAATTAAGGATTAACATATTTTTGTATGAAATATATTTTTAAATGACATTTTTGAAGAATTAAAAAAAATATTTATTTTATTTATTCTTTATAAAATTTTGAATTTTAATTATGCGCTCTCTAAAAGAAAATATGATTGTTTAGTCATACACGTATTAACTATAAATATTACCTTTCCACATTAGTTGCAACAATAATTAGTTACCTTCTTAGCTAATTGGCCAACCACTTATCTTATATATAAAATTATCTATAGCTCCACAACTAGCGAAGTATGATAGGTTTTTGTTACATTTAAGGAGGAACTTATTCGAGTTAGATCGAAAAAAAAGAAAAACCATCATCAGTTTTGTTATTGTTTTGATCAAGATTTGGACTTTATTGTACATTATATTGGATATGTGTAACTCGATTGTTCTACATAATAGGTGTTTTAGTTATTACTATTATTTAATTGAGTAAAGGAGCATTGCTCTCAAAGTAGTTGATCTGGCCTTGAATCTAAACACACATAGAAGTTGATCGTTTCCTACATTCATCTTGTTTAGGTCCAAAGAAGCCATAGTTTCCTAGAGTTGAAAGGAACTACATCATATGATAATGCTAAATGGATATGTGTAAACTTGCTCTTTAGATTCCAAATTTCATTTTAGTGTAGACACGCACATTAAGAGAGAAAATGCAAGAGAGAAAGAGAGAGAGTGAGATAGACACAAAGAGAGTGGGACCAATACCATTGACAACTCACTTGTGGGACCAATACCATGCTTTGCATACTAGCGGGGGCAAACTTAGAAGCATTGATTACTCACTCGTGGGACCAATACCATGCTTTGCATACTCCAAAAAATTTGTCATATTCTACTATTCACATTGAATACAATATTGGATTCAACTTATCACTTCACGTTTCCAAGATGCCTTCTTTAGTTTCAAAATCAAAATCCAAGTCATCCGTTACAAATCATAGTCCAATTGTAGCGCTTGCCAAGGCTTATTTCTCCTTGATTTTATAGTAATGGACAAATGGAGTAAAAGAGAAGGAGACAATATTTGTGAAATTTTGTTTGCTAATCTCTATCAAGAATAATGCGTTATACATAATTCTAACTCCAATATATTTTCAAATCTAGAAGAAGTTTAGAAATTGAAATGTTTGATGAATTTATATGATATTTATAAACTTGATACTTGTTGAATGATTTTAGACATATTTTGTTAGCTCCATTTCATGACAATATATACTATATCATGCATATGTATCATTGGTAATTAACAAAAAACTAAGACATAGAAAATGAATCTTAAGATTGAATTAATCAAAGACTCCTTGTTGTGTGGAGAATAAACATATACATAAAGGATAGATGACTAAAATATATGGGTTTAACGTTAATTTCAGCTTTAGTGATTCGAGAACCAGGAGATGCTGCAAGTCACGTGGCTACAAACCCCAGCGCCAGTGGTAGCAATGTTAACAACAACAACAATTCTGGGACACCCGAGCCAT